AAACAATGGGTGATCGCACATCGGTGATAACAACATTCGGTACGTATCATGTCTAGCACGTGAGCGCACTATTTCACAGCCGGGGAGGGGTACGTGAAAGAAATCCGCGAGTAGTATACGATACAAACATGCCAGTGCTCAGATAAGCATTGATACGTTGAGGATGAAACGATGAGACAGCTGCACTCGCGCGCGCGTGTGTGCGCGCGCAACCGCTCGCTGGGGAGACTGGAGGCCGAACACACCTTCAAACAGTAGCCGACGTTGGTACAACCAGTTGGGCACCATGCGTACTTCGGCAGACTTGCGCCGCCGTCGTACATCACCACAAGCCTTGCGTGTGCTCATGTCCGTGCGCGAGATGTCCCCCCTCCGTGGCCACACAAAAAGAGACACGGAGCTTCCCGCGAGCATCCCAGCAAAGCTTCCAGGCGGCAATTATTCGGGCTTCGGGGGGCTGATCCTGGTTGAGGCATCCCCTTTTCGGCCGAACGCTTTGGGCTTCATAATAAGGGTGGGGGTGTGCCCCCCCGACGGAGGTCAACCTCGCCTCGTCGTCGCGCGGCGACGAGGGTCGGAACGCCTTCGGCGCACGGTGGCTGCCCGCGACGGGGATCGATGTGGGGCTGTCGGCGGGGGTGACGCCCCCCAGACGCTTAAGAATCTCGGAGTACCTTCAGCATTGTTTCAAGAGAGCACCAACGGGTTCCAAGAGGGCCCAAAGGGGGCAAAAGAGGACCCCGAAGGCTCGCAAAAGGATTCCATGAGAGCCCCAACATGGCCTCCAAGAGGCCTTCAAGAGGCTCCCAGAACTGATCCTTGCTTTGGTTTGACTTGTGCCCTTCCCTCTTTGTTTGACTGACCTCCTCCACTTCCCTTCTCCAGATATGTGGGGCACGTTAGGGTGGGACCGGCTCAGGGGGGGGGGAACATCGACCTGGAATCGGCGATGCATCGCCAATACATCGGCAATGTACCCCCGAGAGCAAATCCGCAAGTTCCTGGGCGGGGTGGGCTATTGGGTCCCTATCGACGATGAATGGGCAATGGTAAAGGGGCCCAAGGACACACACACAAATAGACATACACATCACAGGATTTCCCATATTTTCAAATATTTTCTCGGCTCTCGTCTTTCCCCCCTCCCCCCACTTCCCATACTTTCCCAGATTTCCCTGGGAGTCGACGATGAACTGTAATGGGGGGTGCGACGGAGGAGAAGGAGGAGGAGGAGGAGGAGGAGAGGAGAAGGAAAAGGAATGGAGGAGAAGGAGAAGGAGGAGGTGGAGAAGAAAGATGAGGAGGATCAGGAGGAGGAGGAGGAGGGAGATGAGCCTCCCCCTCCCCGAACGTTGCCCCTGAAAACAGCTCGCCGAAGACCGCTCTCCACACCCCGAGGGCACGCAAGATGCGAACGACAAGGCCGAACCGAGCTGGGCAACGCCGCGCCAGCACAAGCCAAGCCAAAGACCTACCTCGAAGGAACACAAAGCACATAAACATAAACTTTTGGCGCTCCGCGCGGGTTTCTCGGATTCGCGCCTGGGCCGCCTGGCGGCGCCTCCACCGCCGCCCCTGGCGCGCTCCGCGCGCCAGGGAGAGGGGTCCAGCGCGAAACCAAGAAATCCGCGGGGAGCACAAAAAGTTTCTTCTTTTTCTTCTTGTGCTACCAAGTGGGGCCGGCGTCGATGGGGTCGGAGGATCGCGGTGCATCGCCGATGCAACCGCGACGCACCGTCGATGCATCGGCGACGTCGGCGGGGAGAATGCCGGGCCTCGCACCGAGCCGCATCGCCGATGCATCGGCGAAGCGGCGCGATCCGCCGTCGCCATCTGCTCGGACCCCATCCTGGGAGGCCTATAGACGGGCTCGAGACCGAGATCGAGCAGATGCGGCCGGGCCTCCACGTCTTGGGCCCGGCGTGGCACGGGTTGTCCCAGAGGTGCGCCTTGGGCGCCCCCTGCCGGAGCGGAGGCGGAGGCGGGGGTGGAGGGAGAAGAGGGGCAGGGAAGGGAAGGCTCAGAGAGCCAACCCTGGGTCGGGCATGTCCCCCTACTGGCGGGTTTGGGGCGAGAAAGAAAACATACTCAACAAGTGCTCCCAAGTATCAAAAAAATACAAGAAAGATCGTCCCCAGACTATTTTGGGGCTATTTTTAAACGTTCCTCCTGTAGAGGGACAGGCCCGACTTCAAGCCAACCCCACCGGCGATCTGCAGGATGGAGGCGATGGATGCCTTCTCCTCCCGGAAAAGGGCGCACCGATCGCGTGCCGTCGCCTGGGCCCGCAGAGGGCAGCGGGTGGGGAGGGGAGGCCGGTGAGTGCGAGAGAGGGCAAGCACACGCACAGGCGGGGCACGGCAGCAGCTCAGGGGCAAGGGGCCGACACTGATGGGCTTGTTTTCCACCACCACCACTATATCTTGGAGGGGGAGGGTGTCCTCCACCTCCTCCTCCTCCTCCTCCTCCTCCTCCTCCTCCTCCTCCTCATCCTTGTCCTCCACCTCCTCCCCCCCTCCAGCTTGATTATGGTGGTGGTGGTGGAGAACAGGCCCATCAGACACCATCGGATCCCCCGGAGACGGTGGGGTGCCCGACCCCGCGGTGACCGCTGGCTCACCGCAGAGGCCCCGCCGCACGCGCCGTCGCCGCGCGGCGGCTGTGGCACCCCGCAGGCGGCCCCGGTCGCCCGAGACGTCCTCGGAGCGCGGCCGAAGAGCCCCAGAGCCGCGCGGTCCCTCCGGATCCCCGCTGGCTCACCACTCCGGAGCGCCCCCCCGCTCCTCCGGGAGGTCCTTCGGGAGGTGTCTCCAGATGCTCCAGGGGTTCTTCGCCGGGCCCTTTTCCACGCCCTCCTGGCGCCTTGCCAGCTGGGCTGTGGACCCCACGAGCGGACCGCGCAAGTGGACCCCGCAAGTGCGCTTTGGACTACGTCGCTGTCCAGGCTCGTGGCTCTCGGGTCACAGCGCCCCGCTCTCCAGCGGCCGCTCGGGAGGACCCGGGCACCCCTGTGGTAATTAGGCCCTCGGCGAGGCGCAGCTGCTGGAACGCCTCCCGGGGCAGGAGGACCCCCACGAGCCGACGAACGCGCCCGAATGCCCCAAGTCCCCGAGCCGCGCGGCCACCCCCAATCCCTTCCGACTCACCACACGGCGGGTTCCGGAAACCCTGCAGCCAAAAACCTTGCCGTCTCTTGCAGAAGAAGAAAAAGGCCGCATGCGCAAACTTTTGGCGCTCCGCGCGAATTTCTTGGATCCGCGCTGGACCCCCCTCCCTGGCGCGCGGAGCGCGCCAGGGGCGGCGCCGGAGGCGCCGCCGCGGGGCCCAGGCGCGAATCCGAAAACTCTGCGCGGAGCGCCAAAAGTTTATGTGTATGTGTTTGTTCTTCTTCGACTCTTGGGAGGCCGATTTTTACCTCCGCTGGCTTCCGCCGGCGGAAGCGCCCTCGTTTCGCTTCCGCCCCGCCAGCTTTAGCCGACCTTCCGCCGCCTTCGGCTGACGAAGAGGCGGCAGCTCCTTCGAGCAACGAAGGCGAGGCTGGACGGACTTTTCCCCCGGGGCGTGGGCGACCCGTGGAGGGGGAGGAGGAGGAGGAGGAGGAGGAGGAGGAGGAGGAGGGAGGAGGAGGAGGGGAGGAGGAGGAGGAGGAGGAGGAGGAGGAGGAGGAGGAGGAGGAGGAGGAGGAGGAGGAGGAGGAGGAGGAGGGGGGAGGAGGAGGAGGAGGAGGAGGAGAGAGGAGAAGGAGGGAGGAGGAAGAGGAGAGGAGGAGGAGGAGGAAGAGGAGGAAGAGGGGCAGGAGGAGGAGTGGGAGGAGAAGGAGAGGAGGAGAACGAGGAGAAGGAGGAGGGGGCAGGAGGAGGAGGAGGGAGGAGGAGGCGGAGGGAGGAGGAGGAGGAGGAGGAGGAGGAGGAGGAGGGGCAGGAGGAGGAGGGGGAGGAGGAGAGGAGAGGAGGAGGAGGAGGAGGAGAGGAGGAAGGAGGAGGAGGAGGAGGAGGAGGAGGCGGAGGAGGAGAGGAGGAGGAGGAGGAGGAGGAGGAGGGAGAGAGGAGGAGGAGGAGGAGGAGGAGGAGGGGAGAAGGAGGAGAGGATGAGGAGGAGAAGGATCAGGAGCAGAAGGGGGAGGATGACGAGAAGAAGGGGGAGGTGGAGGAGCAGAGAGGAGGAGGAGGAAGAGGAGGAGGAGGAGGAGGAGGAGAGGAGGAGGAGGAGGAGGAGGAGGTGCGGTTTAGGAGGAGGAGGAGGAGGGAGGAGGAGGAGCAGGAGGAGGAGGATGAGGAGGCGGAGGAGGAGGAGGAGGAGGAAGAGGAGGAGGAGGAGGAGGAGGAGGAGGAAGAGGAGGAGGAGGAGGAGGAGGAGGAGGAGGAGTAGGAGTAGGAGTAGGAGTGGGAGCGGGAGTAGGAGTAGGAGTAGGAGGACGAGGGGAGGAGGAGGAGGAGGAGGAAGAGGAGGAGGACGAGGAGGAGGGGGAGGAGAGGCAGGACGTGGAGGAGGAGGAGGAGGAGGAGGAGGAGGGGCAGGAGGAGACATTCCTGGACATTCCTCTGACGTCGACGACGACATGCTCCCGCCATGCGCACGCAGGGTCTCGCCCGCGCCACCGCGCGCGGCACACGGCGCCCCCCCAGCGCTCGCAGGCCGTCGCGCCGTGCGGGGCCGCCCGCGCGGGCCCTCTCTGCGCCGAGCGGCGGCTTCTGAGCTGGCCCCTCGGGCTTCCTCTGCCTGCTGCCGCGGCCGCGCCGTGCTGGCTCCGCGGCGCTGGCGGCTGGGGGGTGTCGCCGCGCCCTGTGGCCGCTGCCTCGCCTCAGGCTGGCTTTTCCCTTCGCCGCCGTGTTCCGGGAGAGGCGTGAACACCACGGTCCCGAAATTGAGTGCGACCTCAGGTTGGGAAACCAGCTCCCAAACAACGGGAGGTCGCATCGAAATTCTGGAGCTCGCCTTCTCTGGCCTCCAGTCGCGGCGCCGCCGCGTCTTCGCCCCTCGGGCTCTCCTCTCTGCCGCTGTCAGGCTGGCACGGCGGCTGGGCCAGGCTGGCCCCTGCCCCCGCCTCCTCTGGCCTCCCTGGTCCTCTCGCCGCGCTCAGGAGTCTCTGCGTCCATCGTCTCCTCCGGGCCTCGGCTGCCTCCTCATTCTCGGTCTCGATCTCCACCTTGAGGCTTCCGTTACCGTCTTCTGCGGGCCCTTCAGGCCTGGGCGTCCAGCATTGTGGCGACGAAAACCTCCCGAAGGAGGGGGGGGGTTCAGTGGTCGCCGCAAGGCTTCCACCCGACAGCTCCCCCTCGGAGCGGAGGACCTCCTGCGCATCCGCCGCCCCCAAGGGCCAGGGCGGTGCGCTTCCGACCTCGGAATTTCCGAGCTGCCCCAGGCCAGTGTCGTTCTGGTCGTCGCTGGGCTCCTTGTTGCTCAAGCCAGGCTGGTTTGGCTTATGGCCAGGCTGGCCAAGGTCTGGTGGAACTGCATCTTCTCGCCTCCAGTGGTCCAAGTCCGCGAGCGTCTCCCAGGCCTTCAGTCTGTACTTCATCGAGTTACAGCTTGGCGACCCCTCGCACTCCTGCTGTAGTCTATCGCTGACGTACTCTGTGACCGAGCTCGCGTACCTTCTGCAATACCATCTCCGTTCTCGTTCCAGCCATCGTAGCTCGTGTGCCTCGTGGGCCTGGATCCCGTCGTAGACGACCCCTCTGCCTGTCTCTGGTAGCGGCCCCTTGCAGCCTTCCTGCAGCCATGTCTTGACTGTCTCGAGGCTGTTGGTGCTCTGCCTGATCGCCTCGTTGCAGCACCTGCATGTCCAACCGCGTCCTCTCCTCGGCCTTACAAGCAGGTGCGTGGTAACCATCTCCTCCGTCTCGGCGTTGTCGAAGTAGCGGGCCTTGAGCTTGCGCCTCCTCCCCCTCCTCTCGCGTGCTGCTCGTGGCCGTGCGCGCCGAAGCTCCCTGCTGTCACTGGGCCTCCTGGCTAGGCAGTCCTTGGTGCTGATCGCGATCCTCGTCCTCACCAGTGCCGCTGTCGCCCGCGCCCATTCGTAGCAGCTCATATCGTTCCTGGGGATGGCGTGTAACCTCGCTCCCTGCTCCGCGAACTTGTCCGCCGCTCTGTTGCCTTCCCAGGCCTCTCTGGGCATTGACTTCGTCTCCGCCTCCTCCTCCGTCAAGTGGCTGTTCATGTGTCGCACTCGAAGCTCATGTCGTCCTCCTCGTGCCTGTACTGCGCTACCTAGTCTGCGCCATAGGTCGGCGCTGGGACATGTGAGCTCCTTCTTGGTGTCGCGCTCCGCGTTCCAGTCCAGGAAGGTGCCCTCGCTGTCGGTCCAGAAGGTGATGGGCCCTCTGGTCTCCTCCATGCACTTGATCAGCGCGAACAGATCGGCCCGATTGTTGGTTTGTCTCGCCCCTGGCAGCGCTCCGGACTGCCCTGCCTTCAGCTCGAAGCCCTTGAGCTTGCCCTCGGTGTCCAGGATGGTCCAGCTCCTGCCGCACCTACGGTGCCCGTCGTCGTTGCTGTACTCGCCCCCTGAGCCGTCTCCGCAGGCTGTGAGCTCCTTGCCCCCCTCCGCCTGCAGGTCGGGCTGCGCGCGCCCTGTCGCCAGCCCCAGGTTCACCTCGAGCCCCTCCTCTGCACTGCATGTCGGTGGTGAAGTCCATGTGGATGGTTTCAACCCCCTCAGCCAGAAGATCGGATTCGCGCCTGCTTCATCTCGGGCTCGCTCCGCCAGGCCTGCAGTCTTCTCGTGGATGTCGTGCGGTTCCCTGGCGCTGCAGTGGCCCCAGATCCTGTGGAAGTCCGTGTCCTCCTCGCCGCACTCGCACTTGTTGTCCTCGCCCCCGTAGTGCTTGGTGCGTCTCGCCCTGGTCCAGGTACCCGCGCAGGCTGCCGTGAGCAGCGCGCCGTACTCGCAGTAGTTGCCGCGCTTGCGCAAGTTCTCCAGGTATCGTATGATGTCCTTGGTGTCGACGCCCTCCTCTGCTCCTCCTCCGTTGTAGTGCTTGCTGGCCTCCCCCCACTGCGCCTTCGTGATGTCTTGGTGGGGCGCCGCGATGATTTCGTCGGGGTCTCCTTCCTCTCCGCCCTCTGGGAACTTCCACATGTCGCCGTTCTTGTCGATCCAGATGTCTGGGCCTCTCGTGTCCCAGCCTGCCGACCAGAGCAGCAAGATGATGCTCCCCATAACGCCTCTCCTCTGCTGCCATCGCTTCTTCACCTCCGTGTTGGGCAGCCTGAAGTACACCTTGGGCCACGCTCTCCTGGCCTGTGCCCGTATGTCTGGGCACCTGCTCCAGAGGTCGAACCTCTGCTCCGAGGTCCAGAGGTGATGGATGTCTTGGGGCTCACTCCCTCCAGCGCCAAGTATGGTCTCAATCATCTTCCTGGCCATGCCCTTTGCACAGCCTGCGCGTAGCGTCTCCTCGCTCTTGTCATGGCCTGCGGGCTGAGACCGTGGACCACTGCGCCGTATTTGAGTGATGCTTGGGGTCCCTGGTGTACTACTCCTCGTCGCCTGCCGATCTTCAACTTCATGGGCTTGCTGCCCACCTGTCTGAATCTGGTCTCTGCCGCGCGCCACCTCGGCCCATGGGTTCTCCTCATTGTAGTGCCCTTGACCGCCCTGTCTGCTCCTAAGTCCCTGCCCTCGCTGGCCGCCTTCACGATGACTCCTCTCGCCATGGGCGCCTTGCTGATGTCTCTCGTGGCCTTGATGTCCGAGGTCATGATCACCGTCATGTCCGCGAGCCTGAGGCCGTGCTGCTCTAACTCCTGCTTCAACACCTCCGTGGATGTGACCATCTGCGCGATGACGCTGTCCTGGCTGCCCATGATCCTGACGCTGATGTCGTCGAACCACGCTCTCGGTTGGGGTGTCGGGCCTGCCCTGGCCCAGTCCAGCATGTTGGGGATGACCGCGTACACCACCGTTTTGGCTATGTTGTTGGAGCGCCTCGACCCCGCCAGGATCGATCGGTCCGCTACGACCGCCTCCGAAGCATGCTGGAATGGCGCTGTTAGAATGCTGCAGGAAGCGCGTGCTGGAATGCTGCAGCATAAGCATGAGCAGGATTCTGGCGTCGAAGCCCATGCGCAACGCCTCTGGAACCAACGTGTCCAGCCGAAGGTTGTCGTAGAACTTCTCGATGTCCGCCAGCGTGCACCCCTGGAAGATGCGCAGCTCGTCGCAGCACTCGTCCGTGACGATTCTCCTCATGGCCTCCCTCAAGCAGCTGTTGCCTGCCGTGGCCGCATCCCAATATTTTTTGTGCTCCTTGGCCCATCTGCGGACGGCTGGTCGGTGTAGAAGTTCCCACGTACGGACCAGCTGCGGTAGCAATGCCAGCGCCCTGTCGCCCTTAGCCGGTTTGGGCGTGACCATCACCAGCGAGCAGAGGAGCTCCCACGGCCACATCAGCTCGCGTTCGCACATGTTGAACAACTCCACGATCGCCTGCCTGCCCTCAGGTGGCAGCCTCCTCAGGTCGCTGCATGTGAGCTTGTCCACGCCTTGCCCGCGGTCGGGCTCCCCCTTTCAGCGCCATGTCCAGGTTCTCCAGCGTCCAGAAAGGTTCCTCCGTGTTCCGCGCCTGCTCCCTCAGTGCCTTCAGCAGCTCCGTGTGCTTGCTGTGTGGGATGCCGTCGTCCTGCCAAACCTTGGTGAAGTCTCGCATCTTGGCGTCTACTATCTCCAAGGGGCTGTCCGTGGTGTGGTTCTCTGTGGCGATCTCCTCCTCTCTTTGCAGAGGCGGCTTGGTGATGCGATGTAGGACTCCTGGCTTGGCCTCGGTGTCTGCCAGCCACTGGCAGAAGCTCCTTGTGCTTTCCCTGTAGTCCCTTCTGGTCCCGGCCTGTCTCTCCTCCTCAGCCTGTGCAGCCATGCCCTGGATGACGTCGTTATCGATCTCCTCGAGTTTCCTGAGCCTGTGCTGCCAGATGGTGTGGTGCAGCTGCGCCGTGGCGGATGGTGAACCCTTCAGCGGTGGCATGGTGTATGCCAGTTGCCGTCCTGCTCGCGCCATCTCCTCCTGCTGCCTCAACCCTCTGCCTCTCGTCCTGAGTTTCGCCCGTCGGCTGAGGGTGGTCTCAACCCTTGCCCACCAGTCTGCCCTCATGTCCTTGAATATCGTACTCCTCTCGCCCTTCTCTGTGCTGTCGGTCTCCTCCAGCTTGTAGCATTGTCCACCTCCTGTGAATGCCCTCCTGTCGCCTGGCTCAATCTGGTAGGCCATGCAGTAGAACCTCTCGATCGTGCCCATGATATTCGCGCACTGGTCTCCAATAGCCAGCGAGGCATCCTCGTCTACCTTGAACGCGGCGCTCATGCGGATGTACTCCGGGGCCTCGGCGCGGTGCTCGGTCTGCATCTCCAGGATGTGGGCAACCTCCCAGTAGTCGCTCATCACGGTACTGTCTCGCCCGAGTTGGCGATGCTTCAGCTCGTCCATCTTCCCCTTGGGTGTTTTCTCTTCCCCCTCCGCTGCCGCACCAGGCTGGTGCGCGCAGCTTTGCCGTCGCTGGGGCAGATTTATCCCAGGTTGCCCCCAACTGCCTGAGCAAGTCCAGCCCTCCTGGCCGCCCTCGATATCCTGGGTCTCGGGGAGCGAATGTGGTGTGCTGCCGCCTCCAGCCTGAGCCGCGGAGGAGGAGGAGGAGGAGGAGGAGGAGGGGCAGGAGGAGGAGGAGGAGGAGGAGGAGGAAGAGGAGGAGGAGGAGGAGGAGGAGGAGGCAGGAGGAGAGGAGGAGGAATAGGAGGAGGAGGAGGAAGAGGAGGCGGAGGAGGAGGAAGAGTATGAGGAGGAGGAGCAGGAGGAGGAGGACGAGGAGGAGGAGGGGGAGAGAGGAGAAGGAGAGAGGAGGAGAGCGGAGGACGGAGTCGCCTAAGACCTTCGTCGAAATCCTCCAGGCCAGGCCCCTTCCAGAACGCCGGTGGTCAGCGCTCCGTTCGTGGGGCCCTCCACAGGCACAACGGGGATGGGGAGGCTCCCTCGCCCCTGCGCTCGGCGGCCAGCACGACAGGGGGGGCCTCCTGAGCGAGCGGAGGAAGAGGAGGAGGAGGAAGAGGAGGAGGAGGAGGAGGAGGAGGAGGAAGAGGAGGAGGAGGAGGAGCAGGAGGAGGAGGAGGAGGAGGCGGAGGAGGAGGAGGAGGAGGAGGAGGAGAGTTTCTCGTAAGGCGGGGGTCTGCTTGAAAGGGCCCGGAGGCCACTGGCGGGGCTCGCCCCACGGGAGGCATCCGGGAAGGGGGACTCGCAGATCATTACCCGAGGAACGTGTTACATGCTCGACCACGGACCCCTTGTTGCCCATCGCTCCTGGGCCGTCGTCGGCGGTCTTCGGGCGGTCTTCGGCGGTCCTCGGCGGTCTTCTGACGGTCTTCAGCGGTTTCTGGCGGTCTTTGGCCGTTTCTCGCGATCTTCGGCGACAAAAGCTCAATGGTTGTGTTCACATGGGCTCCATGATCGAACGCCTATGCGAACGTCTACGGCCCATGGGGGGCAGGAGGAACATACGAGACATCATGGCCCAGGCCATGATATCGCCCCGCCTGGTCATCACCCCCTCTTGGCCGCTTCCCATTGTCCGAAGGTTTCTCCGAAACCGGGATGGCTCCTGAGAAGCCCCGCACTCGCAACATTCCCCTTCTGCGCGCCGCCAACCTCCGTCGGCCGTCGGACTGGACCCCCACTGAGAGAATCAGGAGGAGGAGGAGGAGGTGGAGGAGGAGGAGGAGCAGGAGGAGGAGGAGCAGGAGGAGGAGGAGCAGGAGGAGGAGGACGGAGAGGGGGAGGAGGGAGAGGAGAAGGGGAAGAAGGGAGGGGGAGGGGGAGGTGGAGGAGGATCTGGATGAGGAGGAGGAGCAGGAGGAGGAGAAGGAAAGAGGAGGAGAGGCGGAGGAGGAGGAGGAGGA